GTAGGCGGCCCGTGCTGGGGCGAGGGGAGGACGCGGGTTCGAGGCTCCCCTCAGCGCGCGCCTCTTTGCACCGTAGGCGGCCGTTGCTGCGGCGAGGGGAGGCCGCAGGTTCGAGGCTCCTCTCCGCGCTCAGCGCTGCTGTCACCAACACAAATGTTTTGTGCAGCTCGAAGATAGCAAATAAAAGCTATTCGCACTTGCTTATGATGCTACGAAATGAGAATAATGTTTTCTAGTTAGTATTCCTGTTGCACATGAGTACCCAAAGTGGAAGGCAGTGGAAAATAATGAACTTGTCCTGGGAAGTTTCACCGCTTGTGCACCAGCAGGATTTTATCTTTCTAGCTCTAGAGCCACTATAACACTGCTGTGAAATTTGCCAGGTGTAATTGGGACAACACCAGGATTTTCTTTCACCTCTGCTGTATCATTTTTAATTTTCGCTGTTCAATTCTCCACCTTTATTTTCTTCTCTATCTCTTCCTTTTCACTTCATCTTTGAAGGCTATATCTTTCACTCTATCTTTGAAGGCCTTGGCCATATAAATGTTAGAATATGTAATACTATAGTTGATTCAGGATTTGATAGAGTTAGGGCTATCATACTTAGGTCAATTTACAAACAGATTTGGATATTTAACCTGAAAAGGGAAAATAAGGAGGATGTTCCCCTAGCCATCATTTCTTTTATGCCAAATAATTATGAAAGCTGACAACAAAAATTAAATGTAAATTAAGGTTGTTACTACGTATATATACTAAGGGACTTCTCCATTTAAAATGTTAAGAATTTCAGAGGAAGAACATGGAAGGTGATGAGACAGTAGCTCATAGGCACGCTCTATCCTCTATTCATCTTAAGTATTCATGGCAAATAGTCACATTATATATTCCAAATCATCCTTGATTCTTCCCTTTTATAAAGATCCACTATTCATCCAACAACAATGGGCATGCTTAAAGTGTGGTTACATTTAGGGTGCTGACAGACATGCAGGCCCCTGCTCTAACTCGTGGCACTTTACATAAAGTACCATGAGTTAGATAGAGTGTCCCGTCCCTCCCCGCCCCAACAGACATTAATCTCTTGGATCAGGGTTGGGGGGAACCAAACTCCACTTTGGAGCCAATAGAGTGGAGGAGCCTGCCTGCAGCCTCTCTTCCCTAGCCCTGCCTTCTCCCACCCAAATCTTGTGCTCTCTTCAGGAAGGGGGTGGGGAGAAGGGAAGGGGCGCAAGCTAAGGGCTGGGGTTTGCCAGGCCTGAGCTGGAGGAGGAGGAGCTAGAGGGCTTGAGGCAGGAGGGCTCCAATCAACCTGCCTCCCTCCTCCAGTTCAGGCCAGGTAAATACTAGCCCACAGTTTGTTCCCCCTCCCTTCATGCAGACAGCACTGGGAGTGGTGCAACAGATTGACTTTAGTGAACAGAAGTTCCCTAAATCACTCCAAAGTGGAGCACCTTCATCTGATCCCTCATTCGATGAGGGTTAATTTGTCACATGATCAGCCACTTTTAAAGTGCTCTGCAGCCATGCACGTGTGTCCTGGCATGGCTGTAGAGTGCTTTCAGGGGGGCGATCGTGTCATACATGTAACTTCTGTCTGCACCCTTAATCACATATCAGTTAGCCCTCAGGCAAAGCCAAATGACGTGATTGAAAACACTCACATTGGTTTTAATGGACTTTAGATCAAGCTCTTCTTGCTCTTTCAGTCTTCCAATGGTTAAAAAGATACAATTGTGGTTTTGCTTTGTCCCCCCTCCTTTTAGTTTTAAAGAAAACAATAGATGGCAATCATGTTCCTCAAGAGACTAATTGTTCCAGAAAGACACTATTCAGGTCACCTTTCCCTTAACAGTTGGTCCAATAAAAGAAATCACCCACAAAAATCTTTGACCAGGCCTCACAGTATCTAGCAATGTTTCATCTTTTTACACTCAGATTACTGGAGCTAGTCAGTAAAGTGGCATTGCTCAGAAGAGACATTCCTATTGACAAGGAGCCTAGGGAATTTGTATTACCTTTGTGAATTTTAAATGATATTGTTATGAAACAAGCACCTGAACAGTGGCTAACATTGCATCTTAGCACTGTGTAGGCATTTCTTGCAGTGGTGAATTTTGCTGTTTTGTTTGTTTTTCTTTGCTTAATTAGTCCTTTACTATTTTAATTTCCTACTGTGTATTGGCCAGGCAACAGGAACTCAACCTTTATTTCCTCCCTGCAATTACATCAAAACAGAGGGAGGGAAGATGGAAAGAAACATTGCTCTGGAAGGGCTCTGTGGCTGAAGTACTTGAACTAATACCTCACTTGAGTGAGAGAAAATGTGGCTGAAGTATCTAACCAATATCTGAGAGAAAGTGAAAGACCAGTCATCTCGAGCATCAGCAAACTTACAGATCATTCTTCTGTTCAAAACTTCTGTTGTCAACTGCAGCCATTTAGAATCATGTTGAAATTTGATCCAAAATTTTGGTTAGGAAAGGGAAGGTACATTTTGGCCAAACCCAGCATGGCTCTTTTCAGAGCAAACCTCTCAATCAAACAGTACCCTTTCCATTCCAGCTGCAATCTCATAGGTACCAGTCCCTAAATCTCTCTCTCTCACACATGCATGCACGCGCGCGCGCGCGCACACACACACACACTGTAATTTTGTTTGCTGACCGTAGTTAGCAACACCTGAAGTCCATAAGCCAGGGGCAGGCAAAATATGGCCCGCAGAGCCCCTTCAAAAATCAACACCCACATAATAGCAGCTGCCTGCCTAAAAGCCTCCAGCAGTGGCTGGCGGCATGAGCTGCCGGCTGCAAGCACCTTGTGCTGTTTACTTGGGCTCTGGTTGCGAGGCAGCCAACCCTGACCTCAGCCTGCCCCAGCTGGCTTCGCCCTGCCCATGGCTCTGGCCATGTTTGCATCTTGAGACGGGCAGGGTGGGCTGGGCCAGGTCCTGTGGCACCAGTGAAGGGAAAGCGTGCCTGGGCCAGCTTCTGCTTTGCTGCACAAGACTGGAAAGGATCCTGGCATGCTGCTAGAGATGGGACGAGCCCAGCTGGGTTGGCACTGGCCACTAGAAGTTGGCGGCTGAGCCATGTGCGGCTCAGGATGGAATGAGCCTGGAAAGCGGCTCAGGATAAGACCAGGAAAGCAGCTGCTGGGCAGACTTTCCCCGCGTTGTGCCGCTCGGGCTGGGCCAGGCTAGGCCAGCACCGGGGAGGGGAAGCAGCAGCTGGGCCAGCTTTGCCACGTGCAGCTTGGACTGGGTTGGCACCAGGGAGGAGATGTGGCAGCTGAGCTGCGTGCCACTTGGGACAGCAGGGCCGGGCCAGCTGAGGAAGGGGAAGCCGCGGTTTTGCCACGTGCAGCTTCAGCTGGACTGGGCTGGCACCGGGGAGGGGCTGCTCCTGGTCCGGTCCCAAGTAGCACATGACTCAGCTGTTGCTTCTGCTGGCTAGTGCCGACCCAGCTGGGCTGGTCCCGTCCCCAGCAGCATGCGGGGCTGCCAGCTTCGGCAACATACCATTGGGGACCGGCCAGGCCCAGCCAGCGCGGCACCAGCCAGGAAAAGCGGTGATGGAACCTCCTGCTGCTTGGGACCGGCCAGCGCAAGTAGCTTGGGACCGTCCGGTGCAGCTGAGCCATGTGCCACTCCAGCCAGAGTCATCCCATCCTGAGCCGCACATGGCTCAGCCGCCACTTCTGGTGGCCGGTGCCGACCCAGCCTGGCTCATCCCATCCTCAGCAGCATGTGGGGAAGCCACAGCTAAGCCAGTGTCGGCCCCATGCTGCTTGGGACGGGACAGGACTAGCCAGGCCAGCATTGGGGAGGGAAAGCCGCGGCTGAACTGCCTGCAGCTTGTGACGGGACAGGTCCTGCAGCACTGGAGGGGGCCAAGCCAGCACTGTGAGGGGAACCTGGGCCTGGGCTAGCTTCTGCCATGTCACGGGGGGGAGGGGGATGGGCTGGGATGGGCCAGGTCATGCTGGCACCAGTGAGGGGAAAGGGGTTGGCCACTTTTGCCGCTTGGGGCCTGATGGGGTGGGATGGTTCCTATCTTGTGGGACAGGTCTGGTGACCAGTGCTGGTGATGGGAAGGGAGGCTGGGCTAGCTTCTGCTGGCGGCAGGTAAGGAGGGGCTGAGTCGGGTCCTGCCATGCAGGTGTGGGGAAGGGCAGGCTGAGCTGGCTTCTGCTGCATTGTGGGGTGCCCGCCCCTGCCTTGCAGCTAGGAACCCTTGCTGGGAGGGGATGGGCCTGGCCATGAGGTCCCAACCTTGTAGCTGGGATCCAGGTGCTGCCAGGCTGGCCCTGGCTGGCTCCTTGCCCCACATGCAGGTCCAGGCTTGCAGCTGGCAACCAGAACAGGACAGGAGGGACTGGCTCCAGTTGTTGATTTTCATTCCAGGAATCACTAAAAATGTTGAGCTCTCAGAAGAATTGGCATCAATGCAGTCAATACATATACTGCTGCCCTTTTAAAAGAGACTGCAGATAATTTATCTTAAAAAAAGAGGACAAGGTCCTCTTTTGCTCCTTTATCACATGTAAAAGTGCCTTTAACTGAAATAGGTATTGATGATAAACTAGGGTTACTATATTCTAATTTCAAAAAAGAGGACACCTGGCTAGGTTGTCACAACTGCGTTGTGTTTGCACAGTCGTGATTTCCCACCGCTTTAAAAGTCTTTTTGGCGCATTCAATTAACACTGCTCGGACATGTTTTATTGTGCATCGCGGCTGCTCCTCACCCTATTTATGGATTCTTGTGCAAACACTACATCACCCAGAGACCTGTAATTACTCTCCTTCGCCACCAGGTGGCACTGTGCTATTTTTGTAATTCAGGGCTTTATGCAGTAGGTGCCACTGTGATTTTATTTTAAGGGGGGGCGTTTCTTCCCCTCCCTCCTACTCCATGGCTGACGGTAGGAAGTCAGGGCACGGTGCAGCATGGCAGCTCATAATGGTATAGACAGGAATAAAGAGACAAGGAGGAGCAACCCAGTGGTGTACATGTAATATACTACCCCTGATAATTTTTGCCCTTCCTTTGCCACCACTGCCACCACCTGCAGTGTATGTGCTACCCAGCCCCCTGCACCCGTGCTCATGTACCCCCTACCCTGCTGTGCCCACTGCAGTGTTCAGAATTGCAGAGCACAGCGGCATCACCAGAATGGTAAGTTTGCAACTATAAAAGTTTGGAGCATGCTCACCCCTAAGACTTCCTTGAATATTTCAAACCTTCCTATTTCTTATAATTGACATTCCCATTCCAGAGCCACAATGAATACATAGTCCAGGCAGACACTGCCTGCCAGACCCACCACCCAGATGCAGCATCTCAGGTGATACATAGGTAATATCCAAATGTCCAAATGACCTTGTGCGGGGTGGGGCTGGGGGGCAAGAGGGCAGTTTTTGGACTGTGATCCAAAACCCCATCCTCTTCTTTCTTTCCCTCCCTGCAGAAAACTTTCATGATCGGAAATCACAGACCAAGACCAATAAGGATAAAAAGCAGCAAGTTATTTAGCGTATACTGTGTAATCTCCTATAGAAAACAGTGTATAGTTTAGTTAAGTAATGTACAGATTTATAGATAGTGTATAGTGTATAGATAAAGATCTCAATAGATATTGTTTAAATAGTGTATAGATAGATCGATAGATATTGTATAGAATTATATAGAAAATAGTGTTTAGTTATTGTATATAGATAATGTAATACAACGCTGTTTTTATAAGTGCTGGGGAGGAAAATCCTGACTTTTTTGTTTTTATATTATTTTTTGATTTTCCTATTTATTTTAAATTTTCTTTAGTTTATTTATTATGTAAATACTTTTTTTACTTATGCCTTTTTGATAAAAAAGAAAAACACCACCCTTTTTGAATAAAGTTTTGTAACTTTTTTGTCTGTATATATGTGTGGCATGTTTTCTTTCATGGGGAGATTGACATGCATAGCATTGTGTGGTTTGGGGGTGGGTGGGGTGGGGTGGGTTGGGAGAGGTGATGACAGTGCCCGCCTGCCTCAGCTAGCATGGGGATCCTTTGCTTGGGGGCGTTTATGGAGTCATGGCATTACTGGAAAAAGTTGCAGGGTGGACTGTTATGGAAGGTCAAATGCTTGTCCAGTGCTTGTATTATTCCCCTCCATCCCAATGTACAGTGATCCAGGCAAGCCTTGGGGTGCAGCCAGCATTTTTTGCAAGAAAAAAGACTACTTCCCCCCCCCAACCATCAACACCACCCACAGCGGCAAGCAGACAAGGAAAAAAAGTGGCAAACCGCAATACTTCAACAGGCATAGAGCCTTCCTTCACATTTGAAAGAGGGTGATTTGATTAGCAACTCTTCCATGTATTATGAGGCTAACACTTGGTGGAGGCTAACACTTGGTGGTGGCTCCCCGTCCTCATCAACATCTGTTGCAGCAGCTCAGAAACAGCTTTGCAAATTTTTGCTCAGTTTCACAAAAGAAAGGAGACAAAGTCACAGGAATCATTGTCTTTCAACAATCCATTACTGTATTTATTTACCCTTATATTTTTCTTTTCAATAGCAAAACCATGAGTGAATCCAAGCATTCACTGAGAAAACACACAAACCCACCCACCCAAGCAGGCCAAAAAATAACATAGGGTGGGGTGGTTGCAGCCCCCCAAGCCTTGGCACGGGGATCCCGCCCAAGCAATACTAATCCATCTTTACATGACAACATCACAATTGTTGTCACTCATGACTTGATGTTAATAGCTAGCATTGACTACTTACAATATTTCAACTAAGAGCATTGGAGATTATTTTTCTTTCTGTTCTTTGGTTTTCACTGGTCTACACTGTCTACAGACAGTGTTTTAATTAACAATGCCATTGGTAGTTAAGTGGTGAAGAATAATTTTCCTCCAACCAGAAGCAGGGTGATGAGGCCTCAGCCCAGGGTGCAAAAGGGAGACAGAGAAGGAATTTTCTCTCACCCAAAACCAGCATAATAAGGCCACAGCCATAGGGATAGAGGGACCTAGGTAGGGGAGCAAGTACAAATCAGCAATTTTTCTTTGTGTCATTTGGTTTTTCACAATAAATTGAAATGCAATCTATTTTGATTGGGAATTCACAATAAATTGAAATGCTATCTAAATGCTAAAACAGTAAAGACAGTAGTGTTTTAATAAACAATGCTGTTGGTAGTCAAGTGGTAGTGAATAATAATAATGTATTTAATATTAGATATTTAACATGTCCTTGTACATTTGCTTCTAAATAAACACATTGCAAATATTGCAAGTAAACTAGCAGGGGGGTGGGGGGAAGAGTTTTTATTCACAGATATCACTTGATTGGAGAATGTGTGTATGGATTGCCGCATAGGTGACTGGTGCCATCTTGGTTTTGGCAGGGGGTGGGGTATGTGCCCCGCCCCCCAGCGACCAATCAGCAACTGGGGAGGGAGTCCCCCCACGGCCAATCTCACCGACCGGGAAGTGGCTGCGGTGTTCCCAGAAGTGGCTGTGACACTTCATCCAGCACTCCCACTCCCCGGCCGGCACTCAGAGGGGGAGCACCGGCGCTCCCACCTGCCCTCCCTGCCCGTCGCTTAAGCAGGGAGCACGGCCTGTCAGGGGGTACACCAGCACTCTCTGGGAGTGCACGTGCACCCCTACGTGTCGCCACTGGATTGCCTAGCGTGTGCATGTATGCAATATGTGCATGTATTTTGACATAGCAACAAACAGCCATGGGGCAACAGGGAGCTAGGGAGGGAATTTTTCCCTCCCTCCCTCCCTCACATACTGTAATTTTTGAATTGTTGCTGGTCACAAAGCCTAGGGAGGGAGGGAGGGAATCTCCCTTCCTAGTTACAGGCCATGTCCCAGCTAGGGATGGATGGAGGGAAATATTTCCCCAGCCAGAAGTAGGGTGTTAAGAGGCCCTGGCCCTGGGTCAACAGAGACCTAGAGAGGAGGGATTTTTTTCCCCAGCAAGAAGCAGAGTGAAAGGGACCTATGGAGGGAACTTTCCCCCAGCCAGAAGCAGGGTCCCCAGCCATGGGGCAATAGGGAGACAGGCCTCTACAGTAGCCTCAGCAGTAGGCTTTGTGGCCAGCACCAATTCAAAAATTACAATGTGTAAGGGAGGGAGGTTACCCGAGAAAAACGCAGCATGCCATGGGGCAACAGGGACCTAGGGAGGGAATTTTCCCCTAGCCAGAAGCCAGGTGATAAGAGTCCCCAACCATGGAAAGAGAGGGACCTAGGGAGGGAATTTTTCCCTAAGACGTTTCAGACCTGAGTTGGGTATACTAAGTAGTGTATACTGTGTAGTGTCCTCTAGAAAATAGTGTATAGTTACTGTATTAGTGTACAGACAATGTTTTAATAAACAATGCTGATAGTAGTCAAGTGGTGAATGATAATAATAATGATAATAACAATCTGGAGGTTGCAGCAGACAGATAATAACAGTTGAAGGTTGCAGCAGCATCAGGATCTGCAGTAAAGTGAAAAAATCTTTTTCATTTGTGGAGACATGGCCAGAGAGCAATCAACTAAAAGCTACCAGCCACGGGCCAAAGGATAGCTAGGCAGGGAGTTACATTTTATTGGTTTTGGATTTTTTTAAATTTTTTATTAATTTTATTGATTATGTGGTTAAGGGAACAGCTGAAACCTCAGTCCTCCCGAGCCTCCTTCTCTAAAGCTTTCAGTACAGCAGGGTCTAAAGCACCGTGTCAATAGTTGACCTGCCTGGTGGGACAGTCTTCACAGAGAGCCAAGCCTGGAGCTGGCTGAAAACCCTTTTTATTTGTGCAGACAATAATATTATATCACAAAGTTTACTTTCCAAATTGGGACATAGCCAGTAACCTGAAAGCAGGTCCTTAAAACACCACCCCGGGTATTAAGTGCCCACAGTCATGGGCCAAGAGGGAGCTAGGGAGGTTTTTTCCCCCAGCATGAAGCAGGTGTGTGTGTGTGTGTGTGTGTGTGTGTGTGTGTGCGCGCGTGAGAGAGAGAGAGAGAGAGCCATGCAGCAGGGAAGAGGTTCCAGGCGGAAAGGAACTAGAGCAGGGAAGAGGGACTGAGCCCCTTTCCTGATACAGATTTTACCTGGTTTCAGACCTGAGGAAAGAATTTCTTGCAGTGCAGGAAATTCAGAGAAAATGACTGCTAACTCCAAAGCTGCTTCTTCCAGTGAAAATGTGCAGAGACCAAGGATTGCTTTTTAGCTGAAAGATACTATAGTGTAACTGGATTAAACCAACTGGAAGGTTAAAGGAAATTAAAGCCAGACCAGAGATGGTTGCACTCCACAAACTACAAAGGTACACAATCATTACAACATGAGGTGCCCAGAGCACTGGTATTATAAGTTATGATTATTAGTATTATAATAACACTGTAATATATAATAGTATAATACTATATAAGTCTATGGTACTGATTATAAGTCTATATAAAGTAAGTCTATATGATAGCAGGCTATATATAAGTCTATATAATAAAAGTCTACTATAAGCATAATACATATTATAATATATAACAATATAGTAGTTGAGAGAATGCTGAAGGAAATGGAGTCAGACTCTTCCTCTTCTTCCTCTTCTCTTCCTGCTCTGGGAGCAGCATGCAGCTAGCAATGGAATGGGAGCTAAAAATTGGAGTTCGCATCTTTGGCAGAGTAAAAAGCAGATCTCAGGACCTTGATCTTGCACCAGACCTGGGTCCAGTCACAATTGTTCTCTCACGCCTGTGTGGCTTTTGCAATAGCGACATAAACAGGCTTATTCCTCCTACTTTCCAGCTGGTCTATGATCTTTGCTCCAATCATTAAGTCAAATAAGTCCTGCAGTTCTTCCCAAGTCCAGTTGTGTCCACGGGCGTTGGAGGTATCAGCCTCCTGCTCCATCGACTCTGTTCTGCTGGCCTTGGCTTTGTGAGAAATGGCAAAGCAGTTCATGGTCAACAGCAAGTGATTCACGAAAGGCATAATTTTGGGGTCGGCTTTATATACATGCTGTCCTTGTATGAGGATCTTGGAATATTCCAAAGATTGTGAAGTCATCACCTGTGTCTTACAACACCCAAAGGTAATGAAGGAACCCTTTTACCAACAAAGACATGGTGATGGGCTTGAGCATGAGCTAAATAAGGCCATTGTCCGTTGGGATGGCTGCTCAATGACCCAGGATGTTGCAAATTCGATCACACCTGCCTGCTTGTGCACAGTGAAGGGCATTTTGTTCTTGCTGAATAAAATAATTTTATTGCAGAAGCACACTCTGTTTTCGCTGACCTCGCAAAAGTATTCAGCTGGCTGGTCCTACATTAATAGGAGAAGACTAGGCAAAACCTTATGTTTGCAAGCTTGATTATCTGGGGAGGAAGAACCAGCAGCATACCTACAGGCTGGGGAACTCCCTTCTTCTTAGTGCAGAGGCAGAAAAGGATCTTGGAATCATTATTGATGCCAAAATGAACATGGGCCGACAGTGTGGGGACAAGGTCAGGAAGGCCAAC